AAAGGTGTGGGGGGGGGCAAGAGCAGAGAAGCAAAGATAAAGGGCAATGGCAGATTGTCCCTTATTGGTGCAGCAGAAGACGGTGGAATGACATCATGAGCGAAGACGAGGCTGACATCCTAAATTTAAAGTTGCTTGGAAAATGCTTGGAAGAGAATGACTTTATAACAACATGATGCAGTTCCTCACTGGACCTGAAACTACTAAAAATTTGATTTTGCTCTTAAAAAATAGAACTAATCAGTTTGTGCCACATTTTACTTCCCAGGTTACTTACAAAAAACTGGCGCTGCTAGCTCCTAACAGAGACTCGGGTGAAGTGAGCTCCTGAGGTCCTTGACCACAGAGCCACACCAAGCAGTAGAGTGCTGTGGAAGTGTGGTATCTAGTCCCATCAAAACAGACATGTTCTGCATGGCTCAGGCAGCACCATCTCGTCATGTATTTAATAAACATTCATGAAACCGACACGTGCTAGACCCCTGTCTATGGTAAATGAGCCATTTGATGTTATTCGTGTCTTCTCGTTGCTTGCCTGCTGTTGAGCTTCGCTCAGCTCATAATTCTGACCAGTCAGTCCATTCACATTTGTGCGTGTATATGTCTTTGCGTGTGTGTGTGTATGATATGTGTGTGCACACACTTTCCTGTGTATAAAGGTTAAAAGACCATCATCATCATCATCATCATCATCATCATCATCATCATCAACGGGCTTGAGAGTTGGCTCAATCGTTGCTCTTCCAGAAACTCTAGTTTCAATTCCAAGCACCCATGGCAGTTGACAACTGTCTTTAACTCCAGCTTCAGGGCCTCTAGTACCTTCTTCTGGCCTCCAAAGGCACCAGACACTCATGTGGTGCAGACATACATGCACACAAAACACCTGTACACATAAAAATAACAAAATAGACTTTTTAAATTATCATTTGTTTATGTGTTTGAAAGAGAACACACTCATTCATGTTCATGCAAGTGTCCACAGAGGCCAGAAGATTTCAAACCGTCTGGAGTTATAAATGGTCATGAGCTGCTGTGGGTGCTGGGAACTGAACTTCAGACCTTTGCAAGAGTAGCAAGTGCTCTTAAATGTGAAGCCATCTCTCCAGCCCTCAGACTATCATTTGGAAACAACCATTTAGTAATGCATGTATATTCTCTGATTCAGACCTGGAGACAGGACACAGTGGGGATGGTAGTTATTTCTGTTCTGAAAAATCTGTGGTCCTGTCTGAGACCACATGGAAGCCTGTGGCTGGAAGGATGAATCAATCACCTAAATAGACTTTGTTCACCCTTCTGCCACTATCATGTCTGTTTCATGAGACCTTGGTGGCTTTGTCAAATAGAAAGCCGAAAGTTGACTGATCCATGTCACCTGCTGTGCAGGGTGCATCCATTACACATCCTGGCGGCTTTAGGAGCATCCAGCTCTTAACATTTCAGCTCAGGGATCCAAAAAAGGGCACCACACAACGTAGAGACTGCATTGACTCGATCCTTGGAAGTCACTAAAATATTCTCTGTATTCCATTGGTTTCATGCAGCTTAAAATTCTACCAAATGCAAAGGGGAAAGAAAGTAGACTTCAAGTCTGGATGCAGGAGAGGCAAATTCTGGAGGAGTGTGTGAGATGAGCAACACTATGTGTATATGTAACGTGTGTAACATGTAACATGTGTAAGTGTATATGCATGTCTCTCTGTGTGTATGAGGTATGCATGTATGTGTGTGGGATGTGTGCATGCATGTACGGTACATGTGTTCATGTGTGTGTATGATTTGTGCATGCATGTGTCTGTGCATGTGTGTGTATGATGTGTGTGTGTGCATGTTTTTGTGTGTAAGTGTGGTCTTGGCTGTCAGAGGACAACCACAGGAGTGTGTCCTCCGCTTCGCTTCCACTTTGCTTCAGGCAGGTGTCTGGCGGCTTTATCACTGCGTGTGCCGGGCTACCACTGCGTATGAAAGGCCTGCTGGTTTTCAAGGATTCCAGCGCGTCTCCTGTCTCTACATCCTGTTTTATCACAGGAACAGTGGTGTGTCAGCTGCAGCTTTCAAGGACACACATGAAGGTTCCCACACAGCCCGACCTTTACCCGCCTGTCCCCCTCAGCCCAAGTTCCAAAGTCTTTTACAGTTTCTGGGAACTACACATACCTAACACAATATGGGAACAATCACACGATGGCCTGTGTCTGTTAACAGTTGTCTCAGAAAGACATGCAGACACAAATTAGGGGTTCAGTTTAAAGAACCTTTCATCTTTATTCTGAGTAAATTAGACTTCAGTTTGTAGGTGTGAGGTTTTGGCTTAAAGTTTGTTTTTTATTTCAGCTCAGGCCTTGCTTGAGTTGCTCTGTGACTTAGAAATATAGGCATATGGTCTTATCGGGGAAGCAAAATCGCAAGGTAGCAGGGCCAGTAGAGAACGTGACTTTGTTACTAAACAGTGACAATGGAAATGAAAATAAACTAGTGAAATCCATTTCCATGGGTGTAATTGCCCAAGGCTAGAAAGGGAGACAGGGGCATGTAGGATGATTTGGAAGTAGGTAAGATGACAGTGGCCCCAGACTTGGGAGGAGGAGGGACCAAGGCATACAGTAGGTCCTGGCCACGTGATACTAAAAGTCTGGCCATAGGAGCTGCTGTTTTGTGGACAGTTTTGAAGCCATAGAGAGAGAGCTCAAGAATAAAGACAATGCAAGTGGCAGGTGTCCAAAAGCAGATGTGGCATAAAGATGGAGTTCTCGCTCTAACATTCTTGCTTAAATTTTGGTATATCAATCCTAAATTTTCTGAAGGAAGAACAGAAAAGACCAAAGCATGAAGTTTAACTTTATTCCCAACAGGAAAACTGTAGCCAGATCATCATTTTCTTTCTTTGATGACTAGTTCTTCTGTGTCCTGTTAGATTTTTAAAGAGATTCAAATTTCGTCTTACCAACTCCTGAGACATTATCAATTAACCACGCACAGACCATCGAACACAGCGGAGCTGTAATTAAACCAAATTGCTATGTAGTGGCTTTCATTACACAATGACACAGTTTCTGTTAGGACCATGGAGAGCATTTAATTTCATGTCTAGACACCCCCTGAAGTCAGAGTAGCCATACTATCCTTGACTCTTAAAAGGGAAACTTGAGCTTTTGAAGGCTGCATTTTTAAGACATAACATGGAAAGGTATATTTACAGGGTCAGTCTCTTTTTAAATTTCACATGCTACGTTAATGAATCCTTAATCTAGGAATGCGGTGTGTATCTGTGAATTAGAAGGTTTGTGAAGGAAAAGGTACAAATTTCCCTTCTTTTCATATTTGCAAATACTGTTTTTTTCTTTAATGTGTCCCAATGTCAACTCATCCTTTTTTGTTTGTTTGTTTCTTTTTTTTTTCTTTTCTCTTTTTTTTCCTCTTTCTTTTTTTTTGGTGTGTGTGCATGTGCATGCATATACACTCATGTGATGGCTTGTGTTTGTAGGTCAAAGAACACTCTTAGATCTCAGCCCCATCTCTGACTTTGAGAGCACTCTTGTTCATTTTGCCTAAGCTAGACTAGTTGGCTGGGCTTCCCAGAATTCCCCTGTTACTATTGCACCAAGCTTTAGGTGGGGTCTTTGCTGCTGTGCCACTGCCCAGCTCCACGCTTACTTTTCAGTGTGTAAAGTTTGTGCTTTTGTATGGTTATCATCTTTCATAGCTTCCCTTCTTCACCTGTAAGCACAAGCCACCTGTCCTCCAGACTGAGGTGTTTTCTCCCAGCCTGCATGGTCAGCCTCATGGATCCCCAGACTGGACAGACATTTCCTTTTTACCCATTCTAGATCTTACTTTTCTTAAAATAAAACTTGCTCACTGCCCATTTTTTTTTGAAACCATGGACCATTTTTTGTGCCTTGTCTCACACTATGTATTTTCTTTTAATACAACATCTAATTACCCAAACATTTCTGTAGCCCCTGGCCTGAAATCTCTTCTCTGGAACTGGGCATCATACAGTGAAAATGAGAAAATGAATTGACCTCACATGCACCCTTTTTAACCCTTCTCAACATCCTCTAGAAAAGTTGTCTGAAAGCATGCACATGCTCTAAGCCTACATGCAGATGAGTTTTGTGTATTGTTCACTTGTAGACTACCTGTGAGCTTCTTCCTTTTTCTTTATAGACTTACAGCCTGTCAACATAACATTTGTGTATTTAAACCCAGGCCTATCTTTTTTCCTTTGCTTTCTTGTATGATAGTTATTTTAAAGTGGTAATGATCTATTTAATGAATGCTGTCAATTAAGAAATAAGTGTTTCATTAAAATTTTTAACTGAGTGAATGTTTTTAGGTTTCGAGTTGAATTTAGGAGGAAATGGTGTTGATAAAACAAGTGTCATAGAGCTGATTTTTAGATATACATTTACTAAAATGCTATGACTTACATGTTGAACATATATGAAAGCGAAGGTCTATCCATGTTCCTCTACTCGGGTAAACCAGGAGACTCATTGCCACAACCAGAGTGAGAATTGTCTGAGTGTTCTGCATTACACTCTAACCTGACGCCCAGATTTCCCTAGACAGCAGCATCCATAACCCTCCTCTCTTCCAGCATCCTGTTTCCAGGGAGAAGAAACGACAGCTTCCTTGTGCTCTGTTGGGGAATAGTTTGAAGGGAACAAATCAGGGTAATGACATGAAGAAATAGGGCCATTTGGGGAACATTTTGGAATTAAAATAGACAGAACTTAGTTGTGAACTTGATAGAGGTAGATGAGAAAGGGGAGCAGCAGTCTCTGAATTCACTGATAGCCTCTCACCACCCCAGAAAGCATGCTACCACTAACATGACCTCATAAGCTATTCTAGTTTTCCCCATGATATGCATTTAGAAACCCTAATGTGTCTTGTGGAGCCATGTGATTACGGGAGACCTCAAAACAGCTACAGATATCAGGACCATAAGCAAAACCATACAACTGTTATTCATTGTTTTCCCTGTGTAGTACCTTCATGAAAATGGGATTGTCCATCGTGATCTCAAACCGGAGAACCTTCTCTATGCAACGCCAGCCCCAGACGCACCACTCAAAATTGGTAAGAAAGTTTTCTAATGTTTCATGACCCATTTTCCCAGAACAGAAGACACTTGCTCCAGGGAGTTTTAATTTTTGTCCTATCCAGGATTGTCTCTGTCCAGATTCCTCAAATATTTACCATCTGTGAGGAACAAGCCATCATTTGTTAGTCCTTTTCTAGACTGTTAACCTGAAGTATGTGCTAGAACCCCCTGCACCAGTGCTACACATTCAAGAGTCCCAGTCTTGGCACTCAGTAATGATGAGGACACCTTGAGATTTCCTTGTGTTTGGTAAATAAGGTGATAGTGAAAATGTGTCTTGTGTTTGGGTTCTTAACTTTGAATCGACAAATTATTTGGTGCTTAATTTTTTATAATGAAGAACTTTAGTACAAAATACTTAATACAAATTAACAGAGAAAACCCGAAGACCGTATTTTTAGATTGTTTTCCACAGAAAGCAGGGTGTATATGTTTGTAGAGGACGAAGTTTAACAAAGGGCCTGTGGTTGGTCAAATAAGTTAGAAAATATGAAAAGAAATAATATTTTTATATTCCTTTATAGAACCCTAAAAATGCTGATGTATAGAACAACATATCATAATTTACAAGTTTTTTTTAAGCTTTATTGACTCTAGAAACCCAACCTATACGAACATTCAGAAAAACTATAAAGATGAATTTTGGGCAGTTCTCATCTACCCCTTGAAATCAGCCCTTCAGGAGAAAACCACATTACATTTTCTATCCCATATACTTGTTGAAGCAAATTTTCATTTCCAAAGACAATTGTTGTTAAGAGATGGATTCTCCCTTTGGCAGAACATGTTTCAAAGCCATTGAAGGATGTTGCTCTTCAGTCAGCTCTCCTTCAGAGCTAAGCTGGTGTGTTCCCTAGATTTAGAAGTGTTAACACCTCTAAAAATGAAGTCAGTCTACAGGAAGAGTTCAGGCAGCAGAGTGTGCGTCCGGAGAGCAAGAGCCAAAAGAAGCATTCTGAAAAGTCTGCTGGGCAGCCAGCTTGATCCAGTAATCAGTCCTGAAAGACAGTGGACAGCAGGGAGCTTCCATTTCCTTTGACACCACTTTCAAAGATGTGATCCTTAAAGAAATCTCTTTGGAAGGATGGATAGATACTAATTTAGGCAGGCAAGCCTTTCTTTCTGAAGGGCTGCCTGTTGTGCCTAGCGATACGGTCAGGGGCCGTGTGGCAATACAGGTATATCTTTGAAGTCTAAAATGGCATCCCTTTTGCACCTGCCTCTCTTGAAGAGGGAGCAACTTTCTGAAACACTTAAAGAGAGGCCACCCAGCAATAGGTCATCGTTGTAGCAACCTGGATTATATTTTACTTAGGTAATATGCAGAAGAATGAATACAAATAATCTGGGCTCTCCTCAAAACGTACTCATTATTCGAGCATGAACTATTATCTGTCAGACATTAGGGACTGATGTTATTTACTTTCAATCAGAATAAGCTTTGGATATTTTTGTTTATTTCCTTGGTATCTGTGAAAATCTGTTTTGGTTTTTTTTTTTTTTTTTTTTTTTTTTTAAATCTCACCAGTCAATTAAAGACTCTGAATGACATCACTAAGCCTATATTGACGCTTGGAGTTACCGTCACATGAATCTGAGGAATTTTTACCATAAAAATCACAGTTACAGTTGCAAAGAAAATTTCTTCACGTGTTAATGTTTTTGAGAGTTAGAGAAAATTCAAGCATTATAGATTATTTGTAAATGTATTTATGAGTCACTTTTTTTTCCAAGTTAAAGGCTTGAATTACTATTTTGTAAAAACTTCCTTTGAAGCCACATCCATCCCAGCGTCAGCGTCGGATCAGAAGTCAACAAATATGTTAGTTTTGTTTTTAGAAAGCAGACGAACCCAGAGAAGCTAAGAAAAGTCTCGGTGCACTAAATTCCTCTCTTGTGTTTCCAGCTGACTTCGGACTCTCTAAAATTGTGGAACACCAAGTGCTCATGAAGACAGTATGTGGAACCCCGGGGTACTGCGGTATGCTAATGCTGACGTTTTACCTTTATTGAAATCTATTTTTACCTAATGACCTGATTTTACTTTAACTCCCAGTGTCTCTCTTTGTACCTGTTTTCACGTGGCCACTGAACGGCTTGGCCTTGGTTGTGGAATGACTGCGCTGTGTGTAAAGGACACTTGGGTCACCTTTTGTCTTTCCTAAGGGGGGGGGGGCAGTGACCTGGAATGCAGGACACCTGTGTCAGCGTACCCGCAGCTACTCTAGGAGACACACAGGAGCGGGAAGTCAGCCAGTAGGGAACACAGCAGGAGAACAGCAGCGTGTGGGATGCAGTCAAAGCCGCCGGCCAGTCCCAACTTTTTCTGCTTTCCTTGGGAATGTGTGTGAGTAGAGAGGATGCATTAATTTAGATGGCATCCAGGACACGGAGAACGGCCGGCCTCATCTGTTACCACGGCGCACAGGCAAGGCAAGCTGGCTCTGGGTCTGGCCATTCAGCCGTATCAGGAGAAAATGACATAAAATATATAAAGTGGGGGAAAATTTTACTTCCAGTCCTCTCCAAAACTGAGAAAAGCACTCCCTCTCAGTCTGTCTCTGCATCCCCCATAATACCTTTACAGTTTATAGAAGGGACACAACGCAGCCAAGGAATATGCATGTGCAGGTTCAGCTATGGATCCCAACAGTCAGGCTGAATGATGCCTTCCTCCTGAGAGTGGCCAGGGCTTGAAGAGAGACGCTGACCCTGACCTTAGCACGATGTAATAGTTCCTGAGGGAAGTGGAGCGGAAACACACAATGATAAGAAAAAGCCCATTTGAAGGTGTGTGGCATGTGTTAATTAGATTACCCATGGCACCGCCTAGCTGTGTTTCCCAAGAAGAATCTCCCAGCTGTCCCTGGGGTAGACAGTGCTAATGGACCCCCTCCTCTGGCCTAGTCTCCCAGAATGAGCTGATGGCACCCTGTGCAGAACCTTCAGTTCACAGACAGAACGAGAGCTTTTGATCCATGCTAGCGTGAACCATCCCGTCCTAAGTTAAAATAGCAATAACCTAACCAGAAATAAAACAATTTGCGGACATTACGAAGTGTTCCTAAGGTTGGTGGCCAACCAACATGCAACAAATCAACTAAAATTTTGACTCTAAGGAAAAAGGAAATTAAATGATCTTTCAAGTCATCACTTGAAAGATGAGCCTCCGGCTCCTAGCAGCAGAATCGTGTTCTTTCAGCAAACCCTTGCCAATCTCCTGCTGTGTCTCAGGCCACTGCCCCGAACAGGAATAGTGATTCCTGCATTCACTCTGCTGAAGAAGCTCATGGTTCCCAGAAGGGTAGCTCATAAGCCACGGCATCTACATCAGTGGTTCTCAGCCTGGGGGCTGTGACCCCTTCGCCAACACTCTCTGTCCAAAAATATCTGCATTACAATTCATAACAGTAGCAAGATTACAGTTATGAAGTAGCAATGAAAATAATATTGGGGTTGGGGTTCACCACAATACAAGGTACTAAAGGGCCGCAGCATTAGGAAGGTTGAGAACCACCGCCCGAAGGAATGCTGAGCTCATGTCATATGTGCAAAAGCCATTATGGAAACACGGAGGAGGAGGTGTTGGCTGTTTGCTTCTATAGCATCTGTATTTATAGACAACTGTCTTCCTTAGAACTAGACAGAGACTATAATTGACTCATTTTAACACTTTTTAATAGAGATGGGATTGGGAAAGTACAGTAAAATATTCTTTGAAAATGTATGCTGAAACCCTCAGAGTTTTAGTTCTGAAGTAACTCTGACATTAACCTTTTAACAGTCTCATTTTACTAAGGGACCGAAAAGTTCAAGTATCTTCCTCCAATTGCACATTTTGTTGTTAGTGTCCCAGGCATAACAGTCCAAGTATTTCAAAGCCAACATGTATTGGCCATCCCCTTTAAAAAAAATCAGTACAGATAAATCAATGTATTGTTTCCTTTATTATGAAATGACTTGGTATACATGTTTGTTTGTTTCCTTTGTTTTTGTTTTGAGAGAAGATATTTTTGTAGAACACTGTGCCGTCCATGTTGGCCTCAAGCTTGAGGCAAACCTCCTGTCTCAGCCTCACAGTTACTCCGGGTGAACACCACTACACACAGCACAACTGTCTAAAACATAAGCAAAAGTCAGAATACGTATTGTCAGAATTAATAGCACCTGGATGTTCCTTCTCTGACTCCATGTTCATACACACATTTATAATTTTGCTTTTAATGAGGTAGTTTTCCTGGTGAATTTAAAAATGTTTCCTTACAATTTTATTTTTATAAATACAGTGATAGCACAGAATTAGATGCTGATCTTCCCATTAACCGTTTACATTATGCCAAGTGTTCTTACTTTAGCTCAAAGTCTTCTGAAGCCGAGTGGCGTATTGGTTAATTAATAGAAAGCTCAGAAAAGTTAAAGTAACTGTGACTTAGCATCCAGAGGCCCAGGAAACCTCCTGCTTGAAAGTGTCCCCAAGACATAACAGACAATATACCTGTGAAATCTCAGCAGTTTGGTTGTCTGAGTAAGACTGGCATAGAGACACCAGTTTTCATGCCAGTGTGGATAGGGAAATTCCACAAGGTCTCACCCCTAGATGAGAGGCTTCAGGTGTTCAAGGGGTGCTGAGAAAGGGAGAATCATTTTCCTCCAGGGATGACCTGCTGTGTATGGTCTAATCCCAAGCGGTCAGTTCTGGCCCAGTGTACATATAGTCAATGCTAACTGAACGTAGTCGGTTTTATAGGTATACTATCAATACTAATGAAAGAGATTATGGATTTGTGAGGGGGTGGCCACCATAGGAAATCAGGAGGGTGTGGGGGGAGTGATATAGATGCAGGGTGAATGTATAAAGCAAGCACAAAACCTTTTTTTAAAGTAGGTATGGGTTAGGCAGGTAGAGGATGATAGCATCGTGTTCCAAGTCTAAAAAAAGCAACACTATGGGCTTTTACAACTATGGCCCTGTCAGTGCTGCTGATGTCGATGTCAGGGATTCATGGTCCAAGGTGGCTCCTGGAAATCAGCTGTCATCTCGTCATCTCTGGTTTTTATATGACAAGAAGGAGAGAAGACCATAAATAAATAAATGAATGAATAAATAAATAAATAAATAAATAAATAAATAAATAAATAAATAAATGTACACCTTCTTATAGTAGACACCCTGAAACCTGCCTGTCATTTCTGCTTACATCATATTGCCCTTATATAGTCACAGCTTCTGCACTCTCAGGGACTCTGGCAATGTCCCTGATAATGAGGGTCCTGTTGCTGAATGACTTCATCCATTTTGGATTCTGTAACAAAAATATTTTAGACAGGGTTACTTACAAGCAACAGACACTTATTTTTTTTCCCTGTTATGAGAGTTCGGCAGTCTGAGATCAAGAAACTAGCTGACTGGTTTTCTGGGAAGGGTCCTGCTTTCTTTTTTTTTTTTTAATTATACTTTATTCACTTTGTATCCCCCTCTGGTTTCCTCCCTCCTCCCATCCCAATCCCTCCCTTCCTCCACCTTCTGCATGCATGCCCCTCCCCAAGTCCACTGATAGGGGAGGTCTTCCTTTCCTTCCTTCTGATCCTAGTCAATTAGGTCTCATCAAGAATGGCTGCATTGTCTTCTTCTGTGGCCTGGTAATGCTGCTTCCCCCTTAGGAGGAGGTAATTAAAGAGCAGGCCAATCAGTTCATGTCAGAGAAAGTCCCTGTTCCCCTTACTAGGGAAACGACTTGGATACTGAACTGCCATGGGCTACATTTGTGCAGGGGTCTTAGGTTATCTCCATGCACAAAATCCAACATCCATTCATGTTTAAAGTCTTGGAGAGATCAGGGATACAAGGCACATACCTGAACATAGTAAAGGCAATATATAGCAAGCCTATAGCCAATATCAAACTCAATAGAGAGAAACTTAAATCAATCCCACTGAAATCAGGGACAAGGCAAGCCTGCCCGCTCTCTCCGTATCTCTTCAACATTGTTCTTGAAGTCCTTGCTAGAGCAATAAGACAATTAAAGGAGATCAAGGGGATTCAAATCAGAAAGAAAGAAGTCAAAGTATCCCTATTTGCAGATGATATGATAGTATATATAAGTGACCCCAAAAAATCTACCAGGGAACTTCTACAGCTGATTAACACCTTTAGCAAAGTGACTGGATACAAAATTAACTCAAAAAAGTAAGTAGCCCTCCTGTATACAAAAGACAAAAGGGCTGAGAAAGAAATTAGGGAAACAACACCCTTCATAATAGCCACAAAGGACATAAAGTAGCTTGCTGTGAACCTAACCAAGCAAGTCAAAGACTTGTATGAAAAAAGTTATTTCCAGTCTCTGAAGAAAAAATTAGAAGAAGATATCAGAAGATGGAAAGATCTCCCAAGCTCATCGCTTGGCAGGATTAATATAGCAAAAATGGCCATCTTACCAAAAGCAATCTACAGATTCAATGCAATTCCCATCAAATTACCAAAACAATTCTTTACAGACCTGGAAAGAAAAATTCTCACCTTCATATGGAACAAGAAGAAACCCAGAATTGCTAAAACAATTCTCTACAGTAAAAGATCTTCAGGAGGTATCTCCATCCCTGATCTCAAGCTGTACTATAGAGCAACAATACTAAAAACTGCATGGTACTGGCATAGAAACAGACTGTTGGATCAATGGAATCGAATAGAAGACCCTGACATAAATCCACACACTTATGGACACCTGATCTTTGACAAAGATGCCAAAACCATTCAATGGAAAAAAGACAGCATCTTCAACAAACGGTGCTGGGCTAACTGGATGTCTACATGTAGAAAAATGCAAATAGATCTATACTTATCACCCTGCAAAAAACTGAAGTCCAAGTGGATCAAAGAACTCAACATAAAACCAGACACACTAAACTGCTTAGAAGAAAAAGTGGGGAAGAGCCTTGAACTCATTGGCACAGGAGAAAACTTCTTGAACAGAACACCAACAG